ACAGATTACAATTAAAAGGAACGAGATGTTAGTGGATGCTAACAGTAAAAAAATTATTTATTTATCTTTGTGCCACAGTTTGGTGCAACAATTACATCCACAGTTGGAGCGGGAAGATATTGGTCTCTATTTGCAACAGGGTAGCCCTCCTGTTAGTTGTAGTGCCGGCTTCTCTGGTATTATAGCCATACGAAAATCATTCTCGTTACTTGTGAATTCTGAGTATTTTGTTTGTCTTACAAGAGAAAAAATATTGCAGGATTAGTTCCTAGTGGGACTATCAAATCTAGCAGCATGAGTAATGGATCAGTTCTTGGTGTACACTCTATGATACGAGCTCCATCCCGGGAGACCGTGTTGCATCATGGAATATCCTCCAGTGTTCCTAGTAGCTTACCTTCTGTGATGAGATCTGAATCAATTGGCAAGCAATCTGGCCTTATTGACTCTGGTCATTCACCTTCACCACTAAAGCTGGGTATCCGGGCAGCTCCAGCTATTCATCCTCATTCGCTTCCAGAACATCCTGATAGTTTGAACAACAATGTTCACTGCAATTCTCTGAATACGATGGCAGGAAACATCAGTCTACGACCACCCGAAAGAGCTGATAGCAGGCAGCTTGTAAACTTTAATGGTCGCTCTATTGAATTGAATGAAGATGGTAAGTTTAGTTGATTTATTTTACGACCTGTCCTGTAATGATATTGAAAGTCTGCTTTAATTCTTTGATAAAGGGTCTTCACTTACAATGATCAATTGAATTGGTCGGTTCACTATGTAGCTGATTGGAGACAATCAACCACATTGTTTTTTTTTTTTTCTTTTTTTTTTCTTTCTTTCCATTTCTATTGATATCAGCCGGAGAGCTTTTTCAGACCCTTGGTATGTTTTGGGGGGTGCATTGTCTCTTCTTTTGTTCTCAGTCTTGTTTTAGTTCTTTTATGATAATAGCATCATCAACCTTATTATTATTTTTCTAAACTATTAAGTACGTTTCCTGTAAGAAGTAGAAAAGTGATTGCCTGAGATCTTCACTGGCGAATGGTGTTTGACTGGTTCCAATTCCCATTATAGGTAGAAGAATCTTTATTTTTAAATGATTGTTACTGACCAGAAGCTATTTCATTTTCTGTAAATATCAATGGTTGACAATTTACTTCCGTCAGGATGAGAGGTTGATTTTTTAAGCTTTCTCATGCTTTCATTTAGCTGGATGTTACTGTTTTTGCAGTTTTTGCATCTGGTGGTAACAGAACTTGCCCCATTCCTGGACCACATTATACATGGGGTAACTCCTACCGGCCCCAGCCGCCAGCTCCTGGTGTTGTTTGGCCAAATTCTCCATCTTATATGAACGGAATTCCTGCTGCCCATACCCCAACCCAAGTCCATGGAGTTCCAAGAGCAGCATCTCATTTGATGCACACAGTTCTGCCCATGAATAATCACCACGTTGGATCAGCTCCAGCTATTAATCCTTCTATTTGGGATAGACAACATGCTTATGCTGGGGAATTGTCGAAAGCCTCTGGGCTTCATTCAGGTTCTATAGGGAATATGAATCTGCCTAACAATTCACCACAATCTATGGAATTTTTCTCTCATATCTTCCCACAAGTTGGTGGAAATTCTGTAGAGCTCCCTATCCCCCAAAGGAATGTAGGACTTCAATCCCATCATCAGCGGTGCATGGTTTTTCCTGGACGAGGCCAAATTCTCCCAATGATGAATTCATTTGACTCTCCCAATGAACGTGGTAGAAGCCGAAGAAATGAAGCAGCCTCTAATCAAGCAGATAAGAAGCAATATGACCTTGACATTGATCGCATATTGAGGGGTGAAGACAATCGTACTACGCTTATGATAAAGAACATTCCTAACAAGTTAGTATTTTTCTCTTTAATTCTTTTTTTTTTTTTTTCCTCGTAATCACCCTCTATCTCTCAGTTTCCAATCAAAATAAGATAGGTACATTGACGTGTTGATTATTGAGTAATATGCTCTGCTTTTGCATGGACTAGTTTACTTGTTATCTTAATTTCCATTCGTAGGTCATTTGCTATTTTTTCTTTTCATTTTTTTCTATTATTTGTTACCTTTTATATGTGTGAATGTTCAGGCCAATCGACGATCCTCAGTCTATTCTTGTGAGACAGTTACCTCACTCTACTACATTTGATTTTCATTTGTGATACTGAGGTTATATCTAAAAAGATTAGGACAGTTTTCTCCTGAGTGATGGTGTAGTTACCTTTCCTTCTAGAGAAATGGAAGTATTTGTAAATGTGTTATATGCGCTTGTAGACAACGTCATTTTAATGGAATGCCACTTCATCAGGTAGGTCTGTTATTTTGAGTACGTAAGTGGTGCTAATTAATGCGGGGACGTAATGATGTTAAACTGCAGAATTGATAGTATTATCTGCAATATCCTCTGGTTTCTAATTCATAATGTTCTAATAGTGTCTAATGTCAGTTGTTTGTCCCATCTTGGTTCTGTCAGAAAGCTAATAATCCATCATGATTGTAACTGCAGATATACATCAAAGATGCTTTTAGCTGCAATTGATGAACGACATCGAGGAACTTATGACTTCATCTATCTGCCTATTGACTTTAAGGCAAGTTTTTCCATGTTCAGTGCCGCAGTAATATTTTCCTTCGTTCTGTTCATGACAATTTTTTTTGCTTGTACACCCTATGGATGGTTGCAGAACAAGTGTAACGTGGGATATGCGTTCATTAACATGACTGATCCTAGCCTAATTATTCCATTTTATGAGGTTTGTATGCTACTGAAGCTTGCAGGATATTGAGGTGATAGGTGCCAAGTTTTTATTGACAAAGCAGTGCCATACTTGCAGGCATTTAATGGGAAAAAATGGGAGAAATTCAATAGTGAGAAGGTGGCGTCACTTGCATATGCTCGCATACAGGGAAAAGCTGCTCTTATCGCTCATTTCCAGAATTCAAGTTTAATGAATGAAGATAAGCGATGTCGACCAATCCTTTTCAACACTGATGGCCCCAATGCAGGCGATCAGGTATGAAATCAAATAACATACGTAAATTTTCAAATGGTGGAACAATGGCTGTTTGTTTGCTGAACATGTACTTCTTCTACAGGTTCCGTTTCCAATGGGGGTAAATGTTCGTACTAGGCCTGGAAAAGGCCGAACCAACACCCAGGACGAAAACCCTGATGAAGGTCTATTAATTTCTGGAAATGGTGAGAATTGTTCCAGTGGAGATGCATCTTCTTCATGTGTTGTAAAGGATTTGGAGCAGCCAGTACCATAATTTTTGTGTTCACTAACCTTAGAGGAGGGAGGAGTAACTTAAACTATATCCATCAAAGTTGTTTTGACATAATTTTTATAGTGGCTGAAGGCAGGTAGGGACATTCGCTGGAGGTGGTGACATTAGAGAAGGAATGGTTTAGCTTAGCCAATGCTAAGTGGGTCTCCATCTTCCTCTCCCCACCCCTCCACTCTACGCCCCCCTTCCTCCAAAGGGAAGAAAGAACAAAAAAAAAAAGACAATAGTTGAAGGAGGGAGCATCTGGAAAAGCCTCCAAATTTTGATTGTGAGAGTGATATATTTATTATTATTATTATTATTATTATTATTATTATTATAATATATTATAAGAGATGGGCATTGAAAAAGGGAAAGAGTTTTCATGTATATGAGCATTTGGTCCTGGAGATATGTTGTCCTGGTTTGACGTGAGCAGATGAGGCTTCCTCCCTCTGCTGTACCCCACTTTCTTCTTCTTTTTTCTTTTAGTTTTATTTTGGGTTTGACTTGGAAGTTCTTGTAACAGTTGAGATTTGGTAGAGACAGAGGGAGCCCATGTGAAAATTTTTGAAATGAACTAATTATCCATATTTCCTTTGCTTCTGCTTTTTTAGCCTAACCTAATGATCCTGGAGAGTGCCTGGTTTGTTGTTGTTTGTAATAATCAATCAAGTGTTCTGGTTTAGCCTAATTAATTTTTATATTATTATAATTCAAGTACAATAAGCTTATGATTGATTGATTAATAAGCTCTGTTCTAAAAAAAAAAGAAGACTTTTTGAGTATGAACACATAATTTCTTTTGGTTTGGCAGAACTTGGACTATGCCTATTCCCTATGCGCTTCATTCAAACAATTATTGGAACTAAATTTTCTGACAACGGATAAGAAATAGTACATTGCCTTTCCCTCGCCTCGTTGACAAAGTTGCAATTTTTTTTTGTTTTTTTTTTTTTTTTTTTTTTTTTTTTTTTTTGTTATAAGAACATGACCATTTTCATATTTGTAGAGTTTTGTGTTATATGAACCATGGAGTATTTTCACCTTAAATATTCACGATATGTATATTTCTACTTAATCTAAGGTATAATTTTTGTTTGCTCTCTCCTCCCTGACTTATTCAAGTTAGAAAAGAGATTTAAAAGAGATTTAAACTCCATCTATTGTAATAATTGATAATTGGATGTTAGCAGGGACACAACAGTAGTTACTAAATAAATAGATATCAAACACAAAATTCTATATATTTAGTTTTGTGAGAGAGAGAGAAATGATGATGATATTAAAGAAGATGCAGGTGGTATATGTAGGTAGGGAGCAACACTATCTATGGTTCACTTTTTCTTTTCACAAATTGAAAGAACATTGAAAAAAGAAAGCTTTTCCTTTCCCCATTTGGGTCCATTGCCATTCAACTGATCACCAACCCTTTTAGTTTGGTTCGTTGTATATCAAACTAAAAGCTGAAACCAAACAAAAAACACTTCACATGCCCAGCCCAACCCAACCTTCCTCTTTCTTTCCGTTTTCTCTCTCTAAATCTTTACAATATAATATATTTACTGTTCAAAATCAAAACATTGGTTTAACAATAGACCACATTCAAAAGGAACACCATGTAGACTTAACCATAGTCTCTGCAATATCATACTCTACTGTCGTATCCGTGTGTATCTGTGTGGGTTGAAGCAAAATGAATGCGTTTGGCATTCACAAATTTGATTGTGAAGGTTCGTCTTCACAACAAGCATTCCACAAGTCACACCCGCTCCTCTCTTTCTCTTACTTTTATGGTGTATCTTTCCTTCTAACTACTTGTATAAGCGTATGACTTTTCGACACTTTTGATATCTACACCTTCTTGAAACAACCTCTTTCAAGATATACTATAAGGGATATAGCTATAATATATTTTGTGTTGAAACCTTAGAATAAAATGACACAAATTTGAGGCTTTGAGTGTAGAGACAGCTCGATACGAAAGGTGCTCTGTTGCCTACATGGAGGAACATATCAAAGGTTGAGATAACTCTCAAAAGTCGATATTTCATCGTATCTTTCTTATAACGTAAGAGCTACCCTATTTTTCAATACAAAAAGTTTCATTCTCTAAAGGTAATATTTGAATTCACCTCCTAAAGCTTTCAAAGTTTGCCAAGTTTGGGACTTTGAAACTTCAAAAATAAATGATTTTCAGTTTTGTTGTTAGAAATCAAAACTTAGTCAACATAATAAATAAAAATTGATATGAATGGTTACTTTCAAATGTAAAGACTTTTCTCTCTGCCTATACCCTAATCCCTTTAAAAGTTTCAATTCTCAAAAATACCTAATCCTTTTATACTTATTCTCTGTTCTCTTTGCATTTCTTTCCCCTCTATTTGTAACAGCTCAAGTCCACCGCTAGTAAATATAGTCGTTTTTGTGCTTCTCCGTCTAGGCTTCTCCTTAAGGTTTTAAAATGCAATGCTAGAGAAAAGTTTTCACACTTTTATAAAAAAAATGTTTGGTTGTCCTCTCTAACTGGTGTGAAACCTCACAAAGATTCAACATTATTTTTGGGGTTTGGGAAATTAATATTAGACGACATGTAATTAGAAAAAGAAAAAACTTTAGCTTTATTGGTGGCCACTTGTGGGTTGAATGAATGAATGGGATGGATTATTTTTATTTTTATTTTATTTGGTTAAATATACAGAAATAATAATAATGATAATAAGAGTGCAAGGCAAAGGTGTGTGTGTATGTGTATTATATATGCCCTTCATCTGCCTCATCATCTCTCCCCGTGCCAAGTTTGTTCTGCTGTGTGGAGTTTGTATCCAAAATTGAAGGAAGAAGAAGAAAGGAGGAGAGAGACGAGGGTTAGAGAAGAAAGGTGGATCGGCGACATGGAAAGCGCCCACTTCCGTGGGAAGCACCGGCGGAGGAAGAAGAAAGGGATCAAAATGAGTTGGGTTCTTCTAATTTCTCTCAAAATCAAGGTACTTTCTCTTCACCTTCCTTGTCAAAACGATTGGGGGTTTTTGAGGTACACATATCTATCTATCTATCTATCCGTCCGTCTCACTTTGCGTAAACAACTTCTCTTTCCGAAAGCATCCAAAAAGAAAGCAAAAATTGGCGTTTGTTTGGTTTGGCATATCATATCATCATCCATCCCTTTTCCTCAATTTCCTTCACACCATTCGATTCACCCCTTCCTATTCTCTTTACGCTTTTCACCAAACTTTCATTTTCCTCAATCCTCCTCAATTTTCAATTCTTTTGTGTTTTCTTCCTCACAAACACATGTACTAAACACATCATCAAAGATTGTGGTCAATAAAGGTAGTTGGATCGGTGCATGTTACGTTACAGAATTTGGTCACGGGCACCCACTTTTTTTTTTTTTTAATTTTTTTCCCCAAAGCCTAAGAAAATGAAGAACATGGGGGAGATCTAGGAAAGAGATACGTCCATGTCATGTGTGTGCATGTCTTTAATTATTATTATAAAAATGTGAGGAGGAGATATGTCCATGCCTTCAATATAATATAAATATATATTTGCGTATATAGCGCCGCTAGCTCTTTTGCACATGCACCCATTCACTTATATTCCAATTTTCAGCGAAATTTTGCCTTCTCTCCCACCCATTTTGTGTTCGTTGTCTGTTAAAAACTGGGGGGGTGTTTGTCTTCTAATTCACAGCTTTTGTTTTTCATTTATATCATATATGTTTGTATGTAATGTAATGTCAGAAAGCGGGAGTAAGCGACATTATAGAGGCGTAAGACAAAGGCCATGGGGAAAATGGGCAGCGGAGATTCGTGACCCCAAGAAAGCGGCTAGAGTTTGGCTTGGCACCTTCGACACTGCCGAGGCTGCTGCCATTGCCTATGACAACGCCGCTCTGAGGTTTAAAGGCAACAAGGCCAAGCTTAACTTTCCTGAACGCCTTCAGCCCAACCCTCCTCACTTTGCCTTTCTCCCCGCTGGTGGGGCTGCTTCTTCCGCTCCTGTAGCCCCGCCAGCCCTGGCGTCATTATCATCACCTTCACCTCCTCCTCTGCCACCGCTGTCGCACCAAGAAGCCTTCCCCGGACTTCACCAGTACGCCCAACTCCTCTCCAGCACCGACGCCGACTTCCCTTATTACTCCTCCACTCTTCTCAACCAACCCAACCATTACCCTTTTTATTCTTCCTCTTCGTCCCAACACCACCAACAAGAACAAGAACAAGAACAAGAACAAGAACAAGAACAGTACGGGAAAGATTTCGGCCCCGGGGGCTCAACCAATTAAACCAATATTGATTGTTAGTTCAGATTTATATGAGTTTTTGTACTCACAACTACTACCACGTATGAGATTCTATATATATATCCATGCTCTATTTTCATGATTTTGGTAGCTCATAATAATTTACAAACCATATAATTCTCAACTCACTCCCAAATGAAATATTGGAATGAAGGAATAAATAAAAAAAAGTTGTCCGTACATATGGGTGTGAGGGCCAAGGTGGGGCACTTAGACTGGCGTATTTACTTCATTCCTAGATATATCTCTACAATTATTAGGAGCCCATCGTGTCCGTCACAAAGTAGAAGAGATTATTATTATTGTATATTGCTCCATGGAATTATTGGAAATGATGGGACATGGGAATAAGTAAAGAACACAAAAAATGATGGTTCCATGAAAAGGCACCGAAAGAAAATGGGGGAATCGACGGCGGCACACAAAGGAGGGTTTGATTTGATATTATATGAAGTGAAGAGATGAGAGCATACAAAGGATTTTATGCAAACATGATGGATGAGGATGAGTCTAAACATTACGCATGCAGAAGCACTACCTTTAGCTTTAGTGCTCCGGACAAACCAAGTTCCAAGTTCCAAGAGGGGCTCCCCAAATCCTCCAAACCCCCCCACAAAAGGGTGGCCTCAGATGGATTTCATGTAATATGAAAAAGGAAGGTTCCTGGGATTTCATAACAAGCAAGCAAGCAAGCAAGCATGCATTAGGGGGGGAAAGGTTCTTGGGAGAGAGCCCTCGGGGTTGGGGTTCGGGGGACGCACACCCATTATTGGAGGGTGGGGGTGTGGGGACCATTTTCATTTTGTTTGTTTTAGTGATGCTCACCAGATAGACTCGTACGGTGGTGGTGGTGGTGGTGGCGGTGCTGCTGCTGCTGCTGCTGCTGCTACTTTCGGCTTTTTCCACGTCAACTTTTGCGGCTTTGCTTCCCTTTTCTATTTTCTTTTATTATTCCCTTCCAAGTTTCTTCTCCCACGCACCAAACTGTCACCATCACTTTTAAACACGCCACACCCAAATACTCCTATACTGAACATTAACTTCTATCATTAAACTTTTCTTTTATTATTCTTTTTTTTAGTTTGACAATCAAACCTATAAAAATTACTTTAATTTCATCCACCAACCAAGAATATTTGAATTTTTCAAACTTGTCGTCACACTTTCATCCTTGTTTATAATTGAAGTTATATTATCATCAGATGTACACTATTCTTATATTACATGATACTCAATCCATAATAAATGTTTGGCCATTTATTGAATTAAAATTAATTTGTGAGTTTATTCGTGCCACTATCCAAGTTCTAAGTCGCTTAGCTTAGCTTTCCCGCTAAACATTTTTGAATTGGGCTTTGAAACTAAAACGTCCCTCACTAATTCTCAGCCCATATCACTATTTAATGAAATCCGGCCCGGCCCACACTCATGATTGTGTACGTCTTAGCGATGAATGCTCTGGGTCTTCAAGAAAACAATTCACTGGTGCGACGGAAACGGAAACAAGCGCGAGATTTTGTGGCGGAGAGAGTCCGAAATGGCGTGTGGATGTTTATGTGCCTCCATTCTTTCTCCCTCCAACCTTCTTTCTCTTAATTATTCAGCTCATATTAAAACTAAGTTGCTGCTTCCTTCCCCAGTTGCTTTCCCTTCGCCATCTAAGTTATCAGCTCTCAAGTGCAAGGCTGCTGGCCAATCCTCGCCTACTTCCACTGTCTATCGGGGAATTTATGGTCCTTGGACCGTTGATCCTTCCGACGTTAGAGAGGTTCTTTTCACTTACTGTTTCTCTTCTTTCTTTTTAATCCTATTGTTGTCTCTTACAATTTGGGATTTGCGGTTGCCCTGTAACTCATTATGTGTATTATGGTTTCTTACTATTCATCTCCCCACCTTAACTGCGCCATTTACTTCATTGAATTTGGCCTGAATTGTTCAACAACTTGTATTTCTATGGATTCTTAGTTACGTCCAAGGATGGGGTCAGGTAGTTGTTCCGTGAGAATAGTCTAAGCTATGGGCACACCAGTTCAAACACTTACCAATGAAAAAAACAAAAACAAAAACTTGAATGGTAGAAGAATTTGTATTTCGATGCCTCCTATGAGATTGTGTAGGACTACTATTAAAAAGTAATGTAGCCGTTCCTTCTAGCATCCTATCGAAATAAATCCATCTCGTCTTCTTCTAGGTCTCTTATTCACTCACCCTTCGTAATCTTTCGATTTCGGGTCTTGAGTCCTAGAATCATGTAGCGCATCCTCAATGATAACAGTTCTGGGCTTCTACGAAATTTGTAACCGAGTAATGACTAATTCAACCTTGTCAATGCTTGTTATAAGTGATTTTAGGTTCACGGTTTCTTGATTGCTTGTAAGTGTGTGCGCACAAATTATTTTTGCTCAAATTTCAAAATGATTAAACGGGGAAATTCAAATTTCCTTTTTCTGTCTGCACTAAAATGTTAGTGTGTTGTCTGGATCTGGAATTTTCATGCAGCTCTTGCTCAATTGTTGTAGCACGTAAGTTGTGTGTCCAAGCCTCCTTACTCACAAGATATGTTAGGAACCACATACCTCCACAATAGTATGATATGGTTCACTTTGAACATAAGCTTTCATGGTTTTGCTTTTGGTTTCCCAAGAGGCCTCATATCCAAGAGGCCTCATATCAATGGAGATGTATTCTTTACTTATAAATCCATGATCATTCCCTTAATTTGCCAATGTGGGACTTTCTCCCAACAATCTTTAATAATCCTCCTCTCGAACAAAGTATATCATAAAGCGTCCCATGTAGCCTATGGTGTCCTCGAACAATCTCCCCTTAATTGAGGCTCGACTTCTTCTTTGGAGCCCTCAAATAAAGTACACTCTTTGTTCGACACTTGAGTCACTTTTGACTACACTTTCGAGGCTCACAACTTCTTTGTTCGACACTTGATGATTCTATTGACCGAGCTAAGTAAGGACATGACTTTGATACCATGTTAGAAACCACGAACCTCCACAATTGTATGATATTGTCCACTTTGAGCATATGTTCTCATGATTTTGTTTTTGGTTTCCCCAAAATGCCTCATACTAATAGAGATGTATTCCTTACTTATAAATCTACGATCTTCCCCTTAATTAGCTAATGTGGAACTTCCTCCCAACAATCCTCAACAAGATCATGGTGCCTGGCTGGCTAAATAATTATGGGTCATAGTGCTTAAACCTGATAGCAGCATTCATTTACTAGGAATTTAGGATTTGATGTGTACTCGCACAATAACTCATTGGTGAAGACAGTCTCATGCGGTTAAACCTGCCTAGACAGTCTATGACAAGATGAAGACAGTCTCAAATATTTCAGTGATAATTTGCTTACTGTGGCAGGTAATTTTATATAGAGCGGGCTTAGTGACAGCTGCCACCTCTTTTGTGATAGCTTCATCAGTTGCTTTTTTACCCGATAACTCTTCATTGAGTGACACACTTAAGCAAAATCTTGATCTGTTATATGCCTTGGGTGGAGGAGGATTAGGCTTATCCCTAGTTTTGATTCACATATATGTAACAGCAATTAAGCGCACTCTTCAAGCTTTTTGGGTGCTTGGTGTTGCTGGATCTTTGGTAGCTTACGTAAATCTTGCACAACCAGCTGGGGACAGCTTAGTGCAGTATGTGGTCGATAACCCATCGGCTGTCTGGTTTATTGGTCCTCTCTTTGCAGCACTGACTGGACTTGTCTTCAAAGAAGGTATCGAGTATTTCTAATATCTTCTGGGTCTTTGACTTACTATGTGTCTTTAAAGTCGTATTGATGATGAAGCAAGCTAATAATAAGGGAGAAGTCATTGAAGTTTACGAAGCTCGTATTTTTGTGAAGTCTCATAGATCACTAGTGCAGTCTTGATGAAGCTCGCAATAATAAGAAGAAAGAAGATATTGAGGGCTGGGTGGTGGACTTAATTATTAATCACACGCAGAGGTTTCTATTGTGATATTGGGTCATTTGATTTATCTATTCTGTCTCCCCGTGGTTTATTTTTGTCCCTCCTGGTCATTTTAAAGATACAAAAAATAGCCTGTGGTGTATGATGTCTGAAATGCAGTGAGACATATTTCAGAGTATAATATCAATCTGTCACGCCTACTTTAGGATTAGTATCGGTTTCAATTTCCAATACCTGTTTGTCCTCTATGCAGGGCTTTGCTATGGAAAGCTTGAGGCTGGAGTTCTTACCTTTGTCATACCTACATTACTACTAGGCCACCTGGTATGGTTCACATTCACACGTTCACAATTCCTAATTGGAAACTTTATTGATGAATGATTAAGATCTCATTAGTTATCTATTTGACTTTTTTTTTAAAAAAAAAAATTGTGCTTGTTTTCTTATCATTTTTGTACTCAAGCTTTCAAAACTTGGTTATTTTTTGAAAAAATATAAAAAATAAACAAAAGTAGATAAGAAAACAAGGAAACTCATGAGTTAGACTTTTCAACAAGAAGCGTGGCATGGTATAACATGTATGATAAGTTTTCAACCGTGGTACCTTGTTGCCTTGTAGTACTGTTTGCTTGCTTGCATTATTATGATGAAGGAATGTGCATCTTTTTGAGCCGTAAACCTATAGTCTTTGTAGCTTTGGAGGAGCCTGTACGCTAACTGTTTGGAGGGGCTTTGTTTGAAATGCAGAGTGGTTTGATGGACGATGGGGCCAAACTTGGTCTGTTAGGTTCATGGATGGCCCTGTTTGTGATATTTGCCGGAAGAAAGTTCACTCAGCCCATCAAGGTAATGTTTGAGCAAATGATCATTCTCTAAATCACAAGACCCTATTTTGTAGTGAAAATGAAGACGTGAATATGTAGTGCATTTTATTGTTTGTTATTTACTTTCAGGATGATATTGGCGATAAATCTGTTTTCATGTTCAATGATCTTGGAGAGGACGAAAAGAAGGCGTTGATTGCAAAGCTTGAGCAGCAAGAGCTTGGTCAGAATGTTGATTAGAACATCTGAATGACACCCACCAGGAAGAAATGTTATCAGTCGAGCTGCTTTACTTCTTACTGCAGCTTTGTCACTAGTCCAGAGTTTATACATGACGCTACTACAACCCAAGCTGTTCATGTTTTTTTTTTTTTTTTATTGGTGTATAATATCATATATCGACCCTTCTCAACATTTGTATATTTGCATGGGAGTGATTTCAATACGAGCATTTCTTTAGAAATCTTTCTCTTGGGTCTCAATTTCTTTCGTGAATTTCTTTTTTTTGTTTTTTTGTTTTTTTAAAAATAAATAAACAAATAAATTTTGGGCATGAGGATTATATCTCATCCCTTGGCTAATAGTGAATTAGGGAATAAAGCAATTAAAGTAAATCCAAACGATGGGGACAAAAATTAAATTTTATCCTAAATAATAATTTTCTTTTGATATAAGGGAAGAACATTTTACTTAATATTTGTGAATGGACGGTTATACCCTTCAGTTCTTGGCCGTGCGTAGCCCTAGGCACTTCAGAGACTAAAGGCTGAGATTTATTACTAACCAAATCCAACGGTTCAAAATTTCCAGCCGCTCCCTTATATTCTTACTAGACGGCGCCCAATCGCTGTTTTAAAACGTTCATTGCACCGCCCTGATTCTTTCGCGAACTCTCGTTGGGATTCTAGGGTTCGCGATCCAGACAGTTCCTTACTGATCAACATGGTAAACTTCCTGCTACATTTGATTATGCCTTTTTATCTCTACTGAATTCGGATCCAACATTTTTCACTTTCTTTCACGCTATTTTCAGGTTCTTCAAAACGATATTGATTTGCTCAATCCTCCGGCCGAACTTGAGAAGAGAAAGCATAAGCTCAAGCGTCTTGTACAGTCGCCCAACTCATTCTTCATGGTTTGCTCTTTCGTTTAAAATTCTTTTTGCTTTGTTTGATCTAATCTTTTCTCCGATTATTGTGATCGAGCTGTTTTTGATTTCTGTCTGCAGGACGTGAAGTGCCAGGGCTGCTTTAACATGTAAGTTTTCATCTTTTCTCAGGTATTATGGTTATGTGACCTTTCTTTTTTCTGCAAGTTGTTGAAGTTGGGTTCTTAAGTGAGTAATGGCACCTAACTCTTTGAATGAATAACAGAACCACTGTATTCAGTCATTCACAGACAGTCGTGGTATGTGGGAATTGCCAGTCGGTCTTGTGCCAGCCAACTGGAGGGCGCGCTAGGCTAACAGAAGGCTGCTCCTTCAGAAGAAAGGGTGACTAATTCCTTGACCCCAGAATTGGCTTTTAGTAGGATCAGGATGGATGGGTTTGAATTTTGATATTGCAATTGAGCACAATTTTTCTTTGTCTCGGGATTTCTACGTTTTGCATGTTGATTATTCAATTTTGCTCGAGAAGAAGAGCATTTTGTCCCCGTTGTTGCAGTACGTTAATTTTCATGTTTTCAATGAAACTAAACTTTGTATTGCGTGTTATCCAACTAGTTTAATTGATCGAACTGTTTTGATTTGGTTGACATCATTCCACGAGTTATGAAATTTTCTGATGCTTTTAGTCTTGGAAATATTGGATTGATATTTGTTATTTATCAAATAGTTAATTATAAGTCATCGGGAATTCTTGTGTTTATCTCATGTCAGGGAGTGGTTGTCTATTTGTTCCCCTTGATCCCTATTTTCAAGTGTTCTTATCGTCTCTTTCTGGTGTAGTTGTCGTTTTTGTACGACTAAGTAGCATCCATCGAACGAGTGTCGCAGAGAATGCCTGATAGTATATTCTGACATATTTTTGCTGATGTGGTCTAATGTTTGGCCCTCTGTTTCCTCGGCCTTGGTCATCCAAATGTGACGCCTTTTGGATATGGCGGATGGAGAAGTTCAAATCACCCACCCCAACCAGCTTTTGCCGTGTTATAACACAGCCTGAAAATTTAGTGCCCAATACGATTCTTTCTTCCACCCTGTAGTTGAGCAACAAATTTGTGTCCTCCCGCCACATGAGCACAACATCAAAATTCTTTGAACGATCAGTGTAGGAAGTTTCATAGACAGAAAAGCCATAAAAACTTCACATTTTTTTCTAGTAAGGTTAGAAAAAAATGTCACCATACTACATTAGACTTGGTCCAAATGAACATTCTCCTAAAATTGAAGGAACTTTGTTCATGTATGGATTTCTATTATGCCTCTATGCTCCACCCAAGTGTGTTAATTAAGGAATTTCAAGTAGTGTTCAAACATAACATGCTCTACCATAGATGCTATGGTCGAAACTTCAATAATTGAGGCACAAACATGTTTTGAGGATAGGGTACTTGGGACAAGTGTCTCAACACCCTTGGCAGTTCTAGACGTTGCCTCGATGATTAAAATTGCTAGAATATAGCTAGTGTCTGGACACTAGTCGTAGATGTTCGCTACGCATAAGCATTCTGACTTGTTTGGAGCCTTTTGGAGTATGTCAATGTTTAGTAGCTTTTTAGCTTGGTTTTGTATTCTACATGCTTGGCAACTCAAATTGATGTGCAATATGGTAATAGAAGACAAAAAGATCCAAACTAGACAAAAAGAAATCTTAAAAGAAAAAAAAAAATCAAGCCTAAGAAATAACCTATGTTGGACAAAAAATAATAATTTAACCAAGAAAAAGAAAAACAAAGAACTTAGGGACGGCATTACATTGAAATTTATGGGGAAAAAAAAACTCCGGACCTTTATGCTGTTATGTGGACGAAAACGTGCGGTAGCTATAAATTAGAATGAGGGCGGAATATGAGGCGAATAGTTGGTGTGTGAAAACCAGAAGTCCTTAAATGTGTGCATGGAGGTAACGTGTCCGGCCAAGGCGCATCAGGAGTTGGTATTACCTGTTGTACGTCCTCCACATGGCCTTCTATAAACTTGGTCAGCAACTAACCCTTTTAAATATCAGTTCAATCCGATCCCCATCTCCATCTGCTGACGATCCAAAGAAATGGCCTTCAGACCCTCTCTCACCGTGAGCCACGCCGCTTCAACCCCTTCTTTCTTCTCCTGCATTTTGTAGGAGCATTATTCATTAATATCTGACTACTGCTGATAACGATTTTGTGATGCATGCAGTCTGCGTGGAAATCAATGCTTAGGACCCAAGGGAAGCGTCGGTTAGCGTCGTCCAGCACCGCTTCCACCATTGAAAATGCTGCTACGTCTTCTAAGTTAATAAGCAAACCCACTATTATTGAATAGTTAGAATATGTAGTGCTTGCTAATGAACGGTTGATTGTGGAACACAGGGGCGGTCCGAGTAGGAGCGTGTACATGAAGGGTGAGTACGCCCCAGTCTACATTGTGTTGGGGTTCGTAGGGATTGTTTTGTTGATGGGAACCCACACGGCGAAGCAGCAGCTGCTGCATTCGCCGGTTGTCAATGTGAGCAAGAAGAAGAGGGAGAGCATCCCGGAGGTGGAGGAGCCCGACACCGTCATCAATTCCGCCGACAAGTTTATCAACAAATCCATTCTTAGGAAGGTGGCCCACATCCAGGACAACACCAAGACTGTGTAGTACGGGATCCCTTTTACCAGCTCACTTCAGGTTTACAATATTTATTGTTATTGTTATTTAGTATAGTATGCCCTTTGGTTTCAGGCCCCCTAATGAAAACTGCTGGAGTGGGTGGATCCTGCCCGGCGTTGAACAACCCCTTGTGTGTAAGCATTTGAATGTCTTCATTTATTTACTTCTGATTCCCATCAATGTGTGTGTGTGTGTGTGTGTGTATAATGGGCCCTTCTGGTTCTGGATCTCTTCCCTTTGTGGTGTTGGATGGAGCAGACTAGGTCTAGGCATGAGGCCCTCGGTTCTGTTTCTTTTTCATGTATAATAAAACCAATTGGACTTCCCCCAAATTGGGACCTTGGAATTGTTTTCATCTATCTTCAACTTCGAATCTCTCTTCTTCTTCCATTCATTTTATCATTGGAGTGAATCCGATTTAAAGACGACAGAGCAAAGTACTCTTAAAACCAAACTTGCTCCAATTCTAATGGATCCACCTCAAAATTTGGGAGACTCAGTAAGAAATGTACTAGAGGCTAATATTTGTAGCTCACACTCAATCAAACACAACATACTCGATGAGTGTAGCCTATTCATGCATGAACCACGAGAGCTCTAATTTGGAGGTAATTTGGATAACTTATAGGTTAAAGTGTACTCTAGAATTAGAATTTTGAGCTTTTGCTCAAGGATTTTGCGAACTCTTATGGTTGAAGATAAGCCTTGATGACTTATATATATAGGGTTTTAGAAAAGGTTTGATAGATGGTAACATTGATGTCCATCGTTTTGAAGAAGAGTCTTTGGATGAAGTAAAGTTGTTCCCACTACAAAGCATTATTCCTGTTTAAGCCAACCGCCTTGTTTTCACTTGTAACGAGTTTTTGCTTTGCTTTGTTGCGACTCAAAGAACTGTACCATTCGATATCATTATCCCTTGATGAATTATGACTGTAACTTGAAAAGGTCGATTGAGAGTTGTTTGGAGTGGTACATGGCCTAACGTGGTGCTGTTGTGATAAAAGTCTCCATCATTTTAATAAGTGTTTGGAATATTGTTAAATTATTATTGCAGGCTTAAAGTTGGGATTAAATTAAAGTTGAAAAGAGATGCAGCAGCTTTATGAAAATGACGATAGTCTTAGTTAACTGGATTAACAGAGAACATTAGAAGCCAACAGCCTGGTGTTTAAGTGATAACGACAAAAAAGAAGCGAGACACATTCGTATGTCAAGATTATTTATTACTACTGACTTATTTTCGTCTTCGACAAAAGGTCAATTTATATACAAGGATATACTTTAGTGGTAAAAGTAGGTTCGTTCTATTAATCGATTCGAGGAAAAATATAAATTATATAAATTTTCGTGATTTGTATCCAAAAATAAGTTAGATCCAAAAATAAGTTAGAAATTGAAAAAATTGGATCACAACTTACGAAACATAATTTGATGCGCCTCTAACTTCACGTATATTGTATATATACCCATGAGGGTGGCGGAATGAAGGTGCAAATTTGGGTAGCAGCAATGGAGAAACAGCCACCGCTGTCCATCAAAATTATTAGAGATGACAATGTGGATCAACCTGACGACATGGTTATTCAGGTGATGGAGTGTCTGAATGAACCTGGGTTGGATTCTCCTGCCATCAAACATTCTATCTACAAACTACCATTCTTCATGAGACGAACTCACTCCGAAGCTTTCAACCAAGCTTTCGATCCCCAGGTGGTGTCATTTGGGCCATACCACCATGGGAAGCAACATTTGTCACCCATGGAACGGGAAAAGGCTAAAGTGTTCGACTCTCTTAAAACCGGAGGCCTGCCCGTTGAAGCCATTGTGAGTTGTGTGTCCACCATTTTGTATGACCTCTTGGAATCATACGACAGGCTTGAGGAAGAATGGACGCAACATCCCGGGAAGTTCTTGAAGCTCATGATTGTGGATGGGTGTTTCATGCTGCAGTTGTTCTGCAACTGCCCCACATCTCTAAGTAACATGAAGATGGATATAAGGCTGGACACGCTGCTGCTTGAGAATCAGCTACCCTTGAAGCTTCTGCATAAGCTGTATTCTATAGCAGGCCCCATCTTCATCTCACAACAACCCAAGGCAACTTACTTCATCTCCCCCTTCTTCTTCTTCTTCTTCTTCTTCTTCCACTTATATACTTCAAAATGCACACTGGAGCTAAAATCGGTGGTTTGCAATTGGTTGGGCATCTCCACGAACAATCTGGTCCAAGAATTCTTGCACGTTTTAGACATGTATAGGGCCTCACTAGTGTGTACTCATGTAGACTGGACGAACTGGAATCAGAAGAAGGAGCTTTCAGGCGCGGAGTGTCAAGTCATTCCGCCCGCAACAGAGCTTCGTGAAGCGGGGATGAGATTCAAGACGAGCGGGACGACTAGCCTTGGGGACGTGAAGTACGATAAAAAAAACGTGATGGCATTTGAGAAACTGAATCCACTCTGCCCGTCTTGACGGTGGACGACGACACTGAATCCACTTTCTTAAACGTGATGGCATTTGAGAAACTCGACGTTGTGGCCCAGGCCCAGGCCCAAGCCCTGAATTCTCCTGCCTTGGTCGACATGGAATCAGGGCGAAGCAGAAAACGACGTTCAATCCACTTTCTTGAATATGATGGCATTTGAGAAACTCCACGTTCGGGCAACACCCCGAGGGCCGCCTTCCTCCATCGCGCCTCCCACCATCACCTCTTTCGTATTACACATACGAAGCATAATATTGAGATGTATTTCTTATCGGTAAACTCGTTGGTACGTAGTTTTACTTTCAGTATATAGCATTCATCCTCAACAGACCAGATGTCTTTTTCTTCATACGCAACCATGTGGATTTGTCCCCATGCCTGTTGTCTTCTTCAATAACCAACCATTGATGATTACGTGGTGTTCTTAAAAGTCATAATCATTTTAAAAAGTTGAGTAGATCTTAAAATTTGGAATACAGTTGGTTTAAAATTAAATTGAAAAGAAAAGCAGGTTTATCATTAAGTAGTAAAGCGATGAAAAGGAGGTTTGATTAACAAAACATCAGAAGGCAACGATGATGGGCAGCTGGTGTTCGAGGGGAGGAGAGTGAGCTAGAAAATGAGAATAATAATGATGAGCAAAGCAAAAGCAAAGCAAAAGAAAAGAAAAGAAAGCGAGAAGGAAATGAGACACATTCTTGGACGTCAAGACAAGTTTTATTCATGCAACCAAAACCAAAGATTGGCGCTGCGCCTGTTAAGTTTATGCGTCTATATTATATATCCATGAGGGTTGCGGAATGAAGGTGCAAGTTTTTGGTATCATTTTTATAAGCAATGGAGAAACAGCCACCGCTGCAAGTCATGGTTGGTAGAGATGACAATATTGGGGATAAAGCTGACATGGTTGTTCGGGTCAAGGGCACTCTGGATCAACTCTTGGATTCCCCTGCCATCCTCAACATGGAAGCAGAGCAAAGCAGCGAACTTCTTTCCATCTACAAAATACCATTCTTCATGACTCAAACTCATCCCAAAGCTTACGAGCCGCAGGTGGTGTCATTGGGGCCATACAACCACGGGAAGCAACATCTGTCACCCATGGAACTGGAGAAGCTAAAACTGTTCCACTCTTTTAAGACCCGATGTCTGTTGGACGTTGAATCCATTGTGAGGGGTGTGTCCACCATTTTGGATGAGCTCATGGAATCATACGATAGGCTCGAGGAGGAATGGACGCAAGACCCCGGCAAGTTCTTGCAGCTCATGATTGTGGATGGGTGTTTCATGCTGGGATTCTTAATCAGCTGCCCCAACTCTCTAATTAATGTCAGTCCGGATATAAAGCAGGACATGCTGCTGCTTGAGAATCAGCTACCCATGCTGCTTCTTGAGAAGCTGTATTCTATAGCAGGCCGTAATGTACAACTACCTCAGGCACGCAACTAAATTCATCTCCTTCTCTTTCCTTTTTTTAATCATCTCTCAACTCATTCCACTTATATAGTCTAAAATGCACACAGGATCCGAAAAAACTGGTTTGCAAATGGTTGAGCATCCCCCAGAATGAGGTAATGAAAGACTGCTTGCACATTTTGGAGATGTATAAGGAATCGTTATTGTATCCCCCGATTGACCGGAGGGACTGGAGCGCGGAGCTTGACCATTCAGATCCGGAGTGTCAGGTGATTCCGCCCGCAACGAAGCTTCATGAGGCGGGGATCAAATTCAAGAGGAGCAAGACAGAGAGCCTTAGGGACGTGTGGTTCGATACAAAACGAGGCGTCTTGTGGCTGCCGCAGTTGATGGTGGACGACGACACGGAATCCACGATGTTGAATGTGATGGCATTCGAGAAACTCCACATGAAGGCTGGGCGCAAAGTGACGTCTTTCGTGATCTTGATGAGTAATCTGATAGACGACGAGAGAGATGTGGCGGTGCTGGCGGGCGAGAAGATATTGGCAAATGCGGTTGGGAATGATAAAGAAGCGGCGGGTTTGTTCAGTCGGCTGGGGAGTGGGGCGGCCATGGGTTTGGACAGCCACATGGCTGGGGTGCACAAGATGGTGAATGCGCATTGCAACCAGCCCTGGAACGAACGCTGCGCAACTCTGAAACACGACTACTTTCAAAGCCCATGGACTATCATCTCCTTATGCGCTGCTATTTTTGGTTTCATCATCCTAATTCTCCAGGCCATCTACCAGTTTCTTGACTATTACCTCAAGCCCTGATTCCTGTTGCTTCTCTTTTTTCGTTTTTGGTTCCTTTCAACCAGGAGCTGTCCTCCTTCCTTGTGTGTTTTGTTCTTCTTTTCTTTTCTCTTAATAAGATTTGAGTGTACGGATGTGTTGTTGTTGTCTTTTCCTCGTTTTTAACTGTGGGAATATACACCTTTCGTGAAAACAATCTGTTATTTTATGGATATGTGGAATGCCCATGTACATTACATCAAATAGATAATAAAACAATTTCCCAAACGAATACCCAGCGGCCCAGCCCAGCCCAGCCCAGCCCGACTCTTCCAGCCCAACAACTTTTCGAGAACCATCTCACAATCACGCTCTCAAACTCATCCCGGATCACTCTGTGTCGTCTCTTCCGACCGAAGTCTGCGTCTCCCCTCCCTCAATTGCTTACCAGCTTCTCAACTGCAATCTTCAAACTCTCTCGGATCTTAGCTGAGACTTCGAACAAATTGTATCCAAGAGGGAAAGGAAACCACTCACCGATCTTTGGAATTTCCAAGTCCAAAAGAGCAAACACATGGAGCGGTGCCTGGTAGCTGGGTTCTGTTTATGGTTCACTCTCGCATTTGTGATTGCAGACGAAAACAAATCCTCTGTGGGATCTTTAATCTGGTCTTCCGCAAAAGAAGAGGGCGATCTCCTTATCCAGTACAGGCCAGAGGAAGATTCCACCGCTGCTGCACCTGTCGCTCACGATGCTGATGGCTTTGATGGCGGCTTTTCTTCCCTGGATAGCATGTTACAGTGGGCTATAGGTACTCTTACATTCATTATTTCCTTTCATGTTCAGCCATAAAGTTGTACAATTAAATGATAGCCTTAGCAATCACAAGGACGATTGAAATCCAGGCCACTAAGCCTAGTGTAGTAGGTGTATAGTTTAAGATTTCTTAGCAACATTGTTCTGCCGAAGAGCGATTCAAATTTAACCTAAATTATACTTGTAGAATAAATATGTTTTCAAACTATAATGTAACATAATTTGTACACTTCGTCAGTAGGAAGTAATTGCAGTGAGTAGAAGATGTTGGTATGGTGGGTGGAAGTTTAACCCATGCGTCTATATTAGCAACGGTTGACACAAAGTTGGTGTAATCCTTGTGCAGCCCTCTACCATTGTAGGTTGGTCGGGAGTGAAGAGATGTGGAAGGTCAGGAGGGTTATTAACACTATGAGATGGATGGAAATTGAAGATGGTGGACGTGCTAGAAGGGGCAGTTTCTTTATTGAGCATGGTGGAACTTGATGATGGTTTGATATTTATGGACTCTGTAGAATGAAGGAGAAGGAGGAATTCTGGCGGGAATTGTGAGTGTATGGTACAGTGTTCAGAAAGTATGAGAAAGTTTGTTGTCCTGATTCAGAAACAGGCGGTGAAAAATTGAAATGGCATATTTTTGCTTGCACACACTCAACAGAAAGGAAAAAGGATGCTGGGATTCTAGAATCTAGTTAAAAGAGTTCCACCTTGGAATGGACTTCTGCAATATGTCTTTCACAAGTGTGGGAAGGCCTACCTGTAATATTTGATGTTAGTCTGCAGAGTAGTTAAACTGTATCATTAAACGTAAATTTTTCATTTGTTTTCTTCATTCATCCTCCTTGTAACTTAGTTTTTGTGATGCCTTTTATCTTGAATGTCTATTCTAACTATCTACTTTTTCTCTTTAAAAACAATTTACAATGGGTTTGGACGTGTGTTCACTGGTTGTATGCTGGAGTCTTCTCTATATTTTTGAAGTTTCGCGCAGAAATTTCACGTTTCATTGTTTTTGCCTATTGTGGACATTGCCATTGAAACAATCTTGATTTTTTTTTTTCTCCAAGTCTTGTTAAGTTATTTTATTAAATCCTGGTATATTCGTAATGGAGAGCCTCAGATTTTTCCAATCGTTTGAACCAACTTTTTGATTAGTGTACTTGTCTGAACCAGGGCATTCTAATCCTGAAAAACTAAAGGAAACTGCCCAGGATGTGAAGCAATTGTCTCCAAGTGAGCTAAAGAAGCGTCAGGAAGAAATTAAGGTGCAAATGTAATGTATTTTAGTTTCTGCATGGAAATTAATAAACGAAATGGTCAAGAGATGAAAAATCTGTTTTTATGTGTGTGTTCATTTTTATAAGTTCCATTATTTTAAAGTAATGTTTCCTCTTTTAAAAGAATGTGTATATTTATGTTATTCCCTTTTGTTATGGATTGCATTAATTTGAATATTTATTCATCTCATTTAGAGTACTCTGCTTTTGTAGGACCTAATGGAGAAGTTGAAGATGCCATCAGATGCAAAGCTGATGCAAATTGCGTTAGATGACTTGAAAAATTCCTCTCTATCATTGGAAGATCGGTATCGCGCATTACAGGAGCTTTTAATTCTTGTTGAGCCTATAGATAATGCAAATGGTTAGTTCTAGTTTCACTATTAGCTCAAGATCCTTGGAATTTCATTTTTAGTAGTTTCAGTTGCCTGTGGCTTTTACCTTGTGAATTTCTTAATTCAATTCCTTACACTTCATGTTACATATTGAAGACACTCAAAATATATTTTGAAGTGAAATGCTTACAGGATTTTTTTTTTTTTTTTTTTTTTTTTTTTTTTTTTTTTTTTTTTTTTTTTTTTTTTTTTTTTTTTTTTTTTTTGTCAAAGACTCAAAAGCACTCATTCTTGAAAAGAAATCTCAAATACATGTCAACATTCATGAGATATTCTTGAAAATTTGCTGCCACAAGAAGCTAGGACCTAACCATTTTCAGATGCAGTGTTTTTGGCTTTGTTATCATACCTTCTTTTACATTATTGAAATTTGGATCTTTTTCCCCGTAGATTTGGGGAAACTTGGGGGCCTTGCTGTGCTTATTCATGAGCTTAATCATATTGATCCTGAAGTTAGAAAAGTGGCAGCATGGATTCTTGGAAAAGCCAGTCAGAATAACCCTATTGTTCAAAAGCAGGTACTGCCTTACGCCAAGTGCAATTACTCTTATAGACCTCTTTGTAGAATTTGCCTCCAGTTACATTCTTATTTTCAGGTATTGGAACTCGGGGCACTGTCAAAATTAGTAAGGATGGCGAAATCTGATTTTGTAGAAGAAGCCATCAAAGCGTTTTATGCTATTTCCTCCTTGGTTCGAAATAATTTATCTGGCCAGGAATTATTCTATGCCGCAGCTGGAGAAACTATGCTTCAGGTGACCAACTGAAGATTAAAAGAGGATTGGTGTGTCACTCTCATGATATATAAAAGTGACTGTTTTCTTATGGTCTCTATAGGATATTCTAAGAAACTCAAGCATGGATATCAGATTGCAAAAGAAAGCTGTGTTTTTGGTAAGTGATCTGGCTGAGACACAACTAGAAAAAGCAGATGAAGCTGAGAGGTCATTTTTTGGTGATCGTTTTTTCTTGAAGTCTGTGGTTGATCTAACCCATTCGAAGGACATTGACCTCCAGGAGAAGGTGGGTTCTTATTTGACAGAGTCCTGCACTTAAATTTGTTATCTTTTAGGCGCATGAACAGGAGCATCCTTATAGATTAATTGTTCATTTTGTAGAAGAAGCCATCAGGGTATTGCATTATTCTTGTTTGGCTCAAGATGTCTGTTTTCTGAGCATATTCCAAAATTTATCTGACATGTGCACATTTGTAAATTAAGAGGTGTGGCCCTTATTCAAATGAAAGGTGTTGATGTGAATTTACAGGCCCTCATTGCTATAAAGAACCTGTTGCTTCTGAGGACAACGAAAGCCCAAGTTTTAAGAGAATTTTGTGGGCTGGATATTGCTTTGGAGAGGATGAGGGTGAAACTGGAGGTATTAATGGAAGAGGAAGATCACCGAGATTATGCTATGGATGTGGAAAGTCTACGAAACCAAGTGGAGTTAATTTTCCATGAAAGGCTGGGAAAGGTAGTTTCTACTCTGAGATTGATTAGTCAGTGTAATGGTGAGTTATTAATCTGCGGGCAGTGGACTTAATATGATTTATTGTTTACAGAGGATGCAGGTTCCAACATGAACAGGAGGATGTGGAAATTTGACTCGTACAATGCTTTCCTACTAACCTAGTCTGCTTAGCTACATCCTAGCCACAACCTTGGGGGATGTTGAAATTAGGGTTTGGTTTATAGGAACGAAATCTGTAGAACATTGTGCATAAATATTCACAACTATTGATTATTGGAGAAATTAAAAGTTCTGAAAACAATGCCTACTAGATCCTTCCCAGCCTTCTTAGATTAGTCTTCATTCAACCAGCCATGAAATGAAGGATAGCCTTGCTGCCTTGGGAAGCCTTGTATCCCAACTGTGCTAACAAGAAACTCTATAATCAGAGTTGGAGATTACGTGTTCTATTAGTTGAGTGTATCTAAAATGGTTGAGATGTTCTAAATAGCGTCTCAAACATTCACTGCCCTTCAATTTCTAGGCATTAATTGGCCCTAAAACTAAAACTACTTGGTTGTTAATGCTTTCACCCAATTTTGGATACATTTCTTTGATTAACAATTCCTACCAAGGGAATAAAATGTGAATAAAAATAGGCCGTAAAATTAGCTTACGAAGTGTGTTATCAAATCAAGATTTCAACACAAAAACAATTCTAATTTTATTTTTTTTTAAATAAAATTTCAAATTAAAGTTCATTTTTAGGTTAAAAATTACATCAAATTTAGGGTAAAAATGGTGAAATCCAGCAAAGCCTAAGATCCAGCTGAACTGACAAATTCATGGATAAATACTGCTCTTTTTTTTTTTTTTTTTACCCCTCTGGGCGGTTATGTTTTAAATACATTTGTAATTAAATATAAAACCTAGCCGGCCAGCCCAACCCGACTCTTCCAGCCCAAGATCTTTTCCTCTGACTTTTGAAGAAACCCTAAATCCCACAAATTCAATCTTCGATCTCTCTCGTCCCTTCAGAGCTGAGTCTGTGGCCCACCCTTCCTCCGGTTGCTTATCCAAGTTCGCAACTGCCTTCTTCAATTTCTCAGATCTCTCCCGGCGGTTCGAGATTTCTCTCTCACTGACATCTTCCGGCGGCATCTCTCACGAGTTTCATCCCCGATCCTAGCGGCCGGTAGCGGCTCTCTCGAGAACACCCATCGCCAGCGGCATATTTCTCTCTTGAACACCTATACCGCCGGTATCTTTCTCTCACTTTATTTGTGTTAATGAAATTATATGAAAACGTCCACTAGACCTTCTGGTGGAAAATCTTTTGTTGTCCTTCTTTGAATTTAATTTAATAAACTTGTCCTGCAAAACCTCTTATGGAAACGATTAAAGTTTCTTTATCTAGGGCATCCTTCAGATCATTTTCTTTTCCCCGCAGTATTCTCATTTATTGCAATGGCTGACGGTCATGAAACTGATAAGAATATTGAAATATGGAAAATTAAGAAGTTGATTAAAGCACTTGAAGCTGCTAGAGGAAATGGGACTAGTATGATATCTCTCATCATGCCTCCGCGTGATCAAATATCTCGTGTTACTAAGATGCTTGGTGATGAATTTGGAACTGCTTCAAACATTAAGAGCAGGGTGAATCGCCAATCTGTTTTGGGTGCTATCACATCTGCTCAGCAGAGACTCAAGCTGTATAGCAAAGTTCCTCCGAATGGGCTTGTGCTTTACACTGGAACTATCGTGACTGAAGATGGAAAAGAAAAGAAAGTCACTATTGATTTTGAACCTTTCAGACCTATAAATGCATCTCTGTATCTCTGTGACAATAAGTTCCATACGGAAGCCCTGAATGAACTTTTAGAATCTGATGACAAGTTTGGTTTCATTGTCATGGATGGTAATGGAACACTCTTTGGTACATTGAGTGGTAACACACGTGAGGTTCTTCACAAATTTAGTGTTGACCTTCCTAAGAAACATGGAAGAGGAGGTCAATCAGCACTTAGGTTTGCCCGTCTTCGGATGGAGAAGCGGCACAACTATGTCAGGAAAACAGCAGAGCTTGCAACCCAGTTCTTTATTAATCCTGCCACTAGTCAACCTAATGTTGCAGGATTGATACTGGCTGGATCAGCCGACTTCAAAACAGAGCTCAGTCAATCAGACATGTTTGATCCTCGTCTTCAAACAAAAATACTTAATGTAGTTGATGTGTCTTATGGAGGAGAAAATGGATTTAATCAGGCCATTGAACTGTCCTCCGAGATCTTGTCTAATGTAAAATTTATACAGGAGAAGCGCTTGATTGGAAAATACTTTGAAGAGATTAGCCAGGACACGGGGAAATATGTTTTTGGTGTTGATGACACACTGAAAGCTCTGGAGATGGGCGCTGTTGAGATACTCATTGTTTGGGAAAATTTGGATATCAACAGGTATGTTTTAAAGAATGCTTCCACTGGTGAGATAGTTATAAAGCACTTGAATAAGGAACAGGAGACCAATCAGAGCAACTTCCGTGACTCCGTCACCTCTGCTGAGTTGGAGGTTCAAGAAAAGGTGGCCTTGCTGGAATGGTTTGCAAACGAGTACAAACAGTTTGGTTGCACACTTGAGTTCGTCACCAACAAATCACAGGAAGGATCACAGTTTTGCAGGGGGTTTGGTGGTATTGGAGGAATTCTTCGTTACCAGCTTGACATGAGATCGTTTGATGAGCTATCTGATGGGGAAGAGTACGGTGATTCTGAATAGCAATCAATCAATCACTCCCCGTTGCTGGTGCAGAAGGGGAATGAAGAGCTTGCACCAACGCCCAGGGTTCGCGGAGGTTAGTCTTGGTTTGAACAGGAAAATTTGTGAAGGCTTCATTAAGGTTTCTTTAGTTCCTTTCTATCCACGCTGATTCTTTTTTTGCTTACACCAAATACTGTAATATACATATGTATTGACTCACATGCTTTGATCAATCCTGTCTACTCGTAGGGGTTTTGTCCTTTTGATCTGGATTTGGCGCCAATTATCTGATATATCGTAAAGGCTGGGTGCTCCAATTTTTAGCCCTAGTGCTGCCTCTGTTCTGGTGGAATGGTTGCTGTCTACAGCAGATACTCGGTTACAAAAATATTTGAAGTACTGCAATAATATTCAATGCCGTATGTTCTTAACTTTTTGAATGTGTCATGTCTGACTGCTTATCTTTGCTGATAAACCATGTCGGTTGGATCTGAATGCATATGTATGTTACTGTATTTGAAGGTTGTTTGTTCGGTATGATTTTGTTTCTCAGTGATGCATCTAAAACAACATTTTTGGAAGCGGCAGGAAGTAGGCTACAAAATAGTTTCTGAAACAACATTTTTGGAGATGCATCTAAAACAAAATCTAAATCGTTACTATACTTGTTCTAGGTGTGTTTTGTGTGGAGATCTGAACTCTTTTAGTCGATATGTTCTGGTGTGTTTCTGTGAATTATTTTTAACTAATGTTCTTTTAGGGGCACATAAGTAATAAGATAATTGTGGTGGCCTTTTTAAGAGCTTAATTGGGTTATTATATTTTTTAGATTTTCTTGGTATGATTCGTTTCTGAAAAACAAAAGTTCGGTTTGGTTCACTGTGTTGGTTTGGTTCAGCTAGAATTGAATTTGATTGATTATATGTATAGGCATATTAGTTTAATAAGGTTATCTAGTTCCTATAGAATGTAATTCGAACTTAAAAATTTATAATAATTTTGCAACAGATTTTCTTTCGGCTTTTCTTTTTCGGTAGACTTCTAGTGTCTCACAATCTGCCCCCTTTGGGGCCTAGCATCATCACCCCCATTGAGATCCAATGTCTTTGTTGGCATTTGCTTCCCTCAATAATCAACGTGGGATCTTAGTCTCCCTTTGAGGTCAAATGTCCTCCATGACACTCATCTCCCTTTAGTCAATGTGAGATTTCACAATCCTCACTCCCTTGGGACCCAACGTGCACTTGTTCCCTACTCTAGATGATTTGAGATTTCATAATCTACTCCCTTCAAGGCCTACCTCCATTCGAGGCCTAGCATCCTCTCATTCTTCTCTCAAATTGATCCACCCCCAATTTGGGGGCCAGCGTCCTTGACACTCCTCTCTAATGGATTTGGAATCTCATAATCCACCCTCTTCGAGGCTCAAGATCCCTGTTGTTACTTGTTCACCTCTCCGGTCGATGTGGGATCTCACAATCCACCCCAGTGGTGCCCAACATCCTTGCTAGCACACTTCTCGAAAGAGGGTGGATTGTGAGATCTCATATCAATTGAAAGGAAAACAAAAGTCTTTACAAGCCAAATATCCGTACATTTTTTAAAGAAGAAAAATTCAAAGCAATTACGAGCGTCGAAGATACAACATAAACCATTTTCAAGTCCTGATATCTATCCATACATATATTTAAAAAAAATTTTACCCAAACAAGGAAAAGAAACTAGAAGAGAGAAAAAAAAACCAACTCCTAAAAAGAGGCGAAGTAGAGGTCTAACGTCCCCGCCGTGCTTGGACTTCTCAAAATTCTTTAAAATGTCCACAAATCAGCCCAACAGGATCACCAATCGATGAAAGCTAATAGATGAGCCACCAAGTCGTACGAGCAACGATTATCTACTATTCCTACATAAAATTTACTGTATATTAGAAAACCTTGGCTATATAAATAGACATCTGCTTGCGATAACAAGCTTTACCAGGAATGCAAGAAAACAACAGCACGAGGGGCGTATATTGAGTTTACATGAGCTTTAACAAAATGAAAAAAAATTAAAAAAATAAAACAGCACAAAGGCATCACTCATTTAGCATAAAAGTAGTGGTACCTGCTCCATAGGTGTAGATTCATCATTCGATTGTTCTTTTGCATCCTTGGATACATTTTCTTCATCTCCACCATCAGACACTGTCTTATCGTCTGTATCTTTTGTGGTATTTGTCACAGTATTATCTTCCAAAAGATTCAAATCTGCAGGTAGCTGACCTGACTTTAGTGCCTGGCAACAAAGAAAAATTCTTGAACGTTATGATTCTCATACTAACATCTAAATAGAGATCTTTATTTTTTTTCTTTTTTCTTTTTTTTTTTACAACAGAAAACCAAGCACACCTGTTCCAATCTTGCAACCTCTTCAAGAGTTTGGGAATTAACAATGGCCGCCTGTAACATAGAGAGTTAATTGATCGCACAACATAATTGGAAACATAAGGTGGTCAAACACTCTTCTACAACATTTTTAATTAGAAACCACACAAGGGCTTGCAAAAAAAACAAGCCCACCAATAAAAATACCCACAATTAATAATGCGAGCTACGAGAAAATAGAACTAAGAATGATGTCAAGCTGATAATTACAAAAAGTCATTTCACCCACCAAGGACTAACTTTTTAGCCTTACAATAAAATAAGATATTAGCCATTCCACATCAGGAATGTTACTATCGAGCACTGAAATCTTAAACCCCCTAAAAATTGATTATTCGATTTAATTTTTTTAATTTTAACTGATCACTTTTGAATAAAAATAAGAATCAAGAATAATTGATGTATAATTAGAATAATTAGATTCTAGAAAATAAATAAAATTCTAAATTATATCCTAAAAATTTTATTTCTACATTTGGAACATAATTGTCCTATTTCTAGGCATCACATACTAAAAGATATCTCTGGATAAAGTTAAAGGATAATTCCTCCCATCTATGACTGCCTTGAAGAAAAATTGACCACCTTCCACCTCCAAGTTATAAAGTTTAGCTTCAAAAGGGTGTGAGAACGAGGATGAGAAGGAATCGAGAGAAAATGATTTACACAAGAAAGAGACAAACTCAAGATCAAAAACACAAGACTCTCCAACCTAGAATAGAAAGAGCTCTATGTTTTGGAACTTGCCCCCTACCAAGACAAGAAAAGTAGCAGGCCCTACAAATCTCTACAAAGTTAAACAATAAGAAAACATATGACCTTGACAACTTGCGAACATATGTTTCAGTGAAAGAGATTCTTAAACTTTAGATAGTATAGAATGTACACACCTTAATAGCTATAATTTGCTCCGGTGTTGGTGCAGACATGGTTGAAGTTTGTTTCTCCTCCACAGGTTTGGATGCATTCTCTACCTCACCTGGAACAAAAGTCTTCACAGATTCCTTTTTTGCCTCTTCTTCAACTTCTTTTGATGAAAATAAATTCCTAGCCTCCAATCTCTCCTGCCATTGCCGTTAAGAAATGAAGAGATGTAGGGGGCATGAGATATCTATTAATGTATCGTACATTTAAGTAGGCGGTTTCTTTATTTCTTTATTTTTTATATCGGACGAAGTCTAAGAATTTACAAACATATGTTAAGAATTTTATAATTGAGAACCATTGGCTAAAATTTTAAAAATAACTTCTTAAACCAAAATAAAATTATTATCGAATGAAGTTAAAGAATTTACAAACATATGTTAAGATACAGCCATTTTATCAATAAGAAGATTTGAATGCAGGAATAAGTTACCTTGTTTCTGACTTTCTTGAAATCAAGCACCCGGAGTGACCTTAACTTGTGAATGACATACAATCTATAGTTTGGCTTCTTCGTAATATTGTTGTCTAACAAACTAAGAAACTGAAGTTTTGGAAGGGATGCCAACGGGTCAATCTCTACCAAGTTCACAAGTCTGTTGTTCGTAAGAACTAACGTGTGTAATTTTGGCAAGAACTCTGACAAGAACGAAGAAATAACCTTTTTTAAAACACTTACTTCCAAAAACAAGATTGCTAAATAATCCTATAAAAGCATAATGGAAAGCTCACCTCCAATATTTGGATTAATACGAGTGATTCTATTATTATTGATCAGCAATGTGCCCAATCGATTAAGATATGGCATATTTTCCAGCTTTACAATCTCATTATCAGACAAATCAATGGCATCAAATTGGTCCTGAAATTTATGGTCAAGGAAATCTAACATTATATGGTTACAAATAAAAGAAAACCAAGAGTAGACATCACTTTCTTTCACTTTTGGGAGAGCCAGATAAGTTTACAAACTTTTTATCCTCGTACAACCAGCAAAAGGAATGGGAAACTTGGGGTTTAGATGAGAAAGCACTTTCAAGTTAAGAATATTAATGAAATTTAGCCCACTGTGTTGGGGTGCCACCTTCTTGATATATTCTGTCCAATTTAACAGATGGAGGCATTGTTTTGTCAAAAAGAAAATGAAACTTCGGTCCACCTTTAATATTATGGTCTTTTACTTCTACTTTAAGGCACTCTAATTCTCAAGCAACTTAGTGGTGTGCTGGTGCACCCCTCCCCCACCCACGCGCACACACACACACATACACTCACCACAAGGTTGGAGGCCTCGATGCAAATATATTTTATGAGTTATTTTAACAGGAAACCCTTCTAGAGACTTTTGGTGGCAACACTTTCTTTTCTTTGCTTTTTTTTTTTTTTTTTTTTTTTTTTTTTTTGGGGGGGGGGGGGGGCTCTTGGAAAGGAAGAATAAGGTGAACAAACACAAGTCCAACTCAATATTGCAAGAGACTTTGGAATAAATCCTTCAAATAAAGGATTATCATTTCTATTCAATTGAAAACAAAGTACTCAAGGGTAGTGAGAAATCAACCCTGGAAGCTTGAGACATAAGAATGAGAATGTTATTTACAAAACTTAAATTAAGGTTGTCACTTAGTCAAGCGGGAGTGGGCTGCCCTTCCAGAGTCCCTATTTCTTTAGGTGGATTGAACATGGGATACCTGAGACACAATGAAGAAGCCTTACTGATAAGGTGGCTATGGAGATACTTTCATGAGGAGGCTTTTGGTGAAAAGTTTTATACAGTAAATATGGTTCTTATCCGATCAGGTGATCATGGAGGTGACTTTTAGCCATGGAGTTACCGAAACTACCGGCTCGTTGGAAACTTGTATTTTCAATGAAGTTTACATGAGAGGCCTAAAAAAAAAAATATAAGAGGTCATTTTATTGATGATTGAAATTTACAAAAGGGATGTAATATCCATGGTGTTTATAAAAGACCTTCTCAATTTACAATGAGGGAGGTATAACTATAGGAAGTAAAAATATTAGACAGTTAACACCAAGATACAGTTTGGTAAACAATATTGTCGAAAAGTTTTGTATAAGTCCATGTCTTTTCTGTGAATATTCTCTGGTTTCTTTCTTTCCACAGAATTCTAAAGAAAGTCTGGATGAGGTTTTTCCATAGTAGGACTTTTGCATTCTAGAAAGGGTGGTACGTTAAGGTCATGTCCAATAGATCTTTTACCTCCCTAGGAAATGTGAGATGTCATCTAAATATATTGAGAATCGTTGTCCATAAATTCTAAGCATATGTGCATTGCATAAATAAGTGGTTCACTTTCTTTCTTGCATAATGGACACCAATTTGGAGAAAGAATGATGTAAGACATTCTTTTTTTGAAGATTTTCACTTGTGATAATGGCTTTATATGCTATTTCCGAAAGGAAGAACTTCACCTTTTTAGGATGATGTCCTTTCTATACTGTCTTTGAGCGTGAGATTTATTGCTTCTACTTTTTTTCCCATGTCCATCATCAAAGATTTTGTAGAGAAGACCCCGCCAGCGTTGGGGAGCCAAGTCAGAATTCCTACCAAACTTTAAGTCCCAGAATTTGTTGACAATACTCCACGTTTCTTTGATTGTGGCTTTTTTGCTATGAGAGAGCCAATATAAAAGTGGATATCTCAAGGCTAGTGTGGTGTTTTCAATCCATGGGTCGGTCCAAAATGATGTGTTTTCTCCATCACCCACTTTATGGCAAGTTCGGTTGGTGATGAGGTTTTGATGTTTCTTTATGTACTTCCAAGGCCCTTTTGTAGAAGACGGGGGGTTGATTTTTGTTTGATGTAGGAGTATATTTGGCCTTTATAAGATTTCTCCACAAGGCCTATTCTTCATGATGATATCTGCATATCCATTTGGCAAGGTGTGGGTTATCTTTCTACAAGTAGTTTCTGAATAATCTTTCTATATCCGCGGCCACTTTTTGTTGACAACTTTCTTTCTATTTTTTCAATAATAATCTTTCAAAAGGAAAAAGATCTGTGGTTTCCTTTTAGAGGTAGTCCTAGGTGCATATTCGGTCATTCTCCCAGTTTACAACCACATATGCTAGTAAATTATTTAATAATCTTCGTGCTAATATTGATGTCTAAGATCTTTGTTTTTCGAAGATTGATAGTCCAGAGAATTTTTCAAAGGTTTTTTACCATCTCGATTATGTTTTTTACGGAAGAGGCATCTGTCAAGTCAGAAAAGAAGATTGTGCCATCCGCGAACTGAAGGAGGTTGATGCTTAAGCCTTCATTACCAATTTGAAAACCTTTTATCTGCCCTTCGCATTCTGCTTTTGTCAGTCGGCAGTCCATTACCATGATGAAAAGAAGAGGGGACAGTGGATCTCCTTGTCGGAGACCCCAAGTGGCACAAATCTTCCCTCTCGAACTTCCATTGATGATGATGGAGAAGTTTGTGGATGAGATGCATCCTATTATCCACCATCGCCATTTTGAGCCAAAGCCTTTTGCCACAAGAATGTTTTCAAGGAAAGTCCAATCAACCTTGTCGAAGGCCTTTTCCATGTCAAGTTTGATGGCTACACGTTTTTGTTTCTTTCTTTTCCATTCATCTATGAGTTTGTTTTCCATGAGGGCTGCTTCGAGAATTTGTCGCCCCTCTACAAAATTGGTTTGTTGTTCAGTTATTGTGAAGGGGAGAACCTTTTTAAGACATTATGATAATATCCTTGCTATGATTTAATATAGACCAGAAAGTCTTGCAAGAGTGTGGGCATCCAGTTTCTTTGAGATCAGAAATATGTATGTTTCGTTTAGGTTTCCAATGATAACTCCATTTCGGAAAAAAAATCTTGGAATACTCGCAAGATATCAGCTCTCATAAAATTCCAGCATTTGCGAAAAAATTCTGAGATAAAAGCATCGAGTCCTGGAGTTTTTTCGAGCCCAGATGCTGAATTGCCTTCCCCACCTCTTCTTTGGTGAAAACAGCCTCGAGGGAAGGCAGCTTGCTGATGATCAATATGACTCCAGTCAAGACCATGGGGAAATTTGCAGAGGGCATTGTCTTTTGTATACAAGGCTGTGTAAAAGGACACAAATTCTTAGACAACTTATTCTTCGTTTACTAAACTTCTGCCTTGTGTGGATAGAATTTCCATGCTGGTACTCTTTCTAAATTTTAGTTATCAAAAGAGGCCACTTCTGTTTCTTTTCAAAATAATTCTGTCCCAAACACCCAAGGAGCTCTCATCAAGAATCTTTCCGAGAGAGTCAATGGGATGTAAGCTTGAGGAGAAGACTGTTTGCTAGAAAATTAAAGAGTGAATTTTTTTTTCTTTTAAGATCACTCTAGTAAAGCCAAGCATTGATAAGGTAGATTGGTTTGGAAACTCGATTCAAATGGCCTTTCTCCTCATATGTTGGTTAACCTCGAACTAAACTCTAATTAGTCCAAGTTGTGTTCTACTTTCGTGGAACTCATTTGGGAAGGTAAGTGATGTAGATAATCCTATGATAAATCTGTAGTTAGCCGTTGGAGTGGTTTGTTAGTTTGTTAGTTTCGGTTAAGAGTTATGCTAGTATAAATACTACTCTTGCATATAATGGGAAAATTCAATAAGAGTTACTCCTATTTAGTTTACACCCGTAAGTTCCCTAAACAGGTCCGAGTTTATTTTATACATGTATATATATACTCTATAAAGAATTGAACATTCATTAAGAGAAAAAATTGAAGTAATATACAAGCATTCAAAAACCAAACTTACAAAAGGAAACCGCACTAAGGAAATAGGCTTCAATCAAGTTAAACAAGACATAAAGAATAATCATAAAACAATCTCATCACCGAAGTTCAAAGAGAAACATAGAACCTAACAAGGGGCCACACTTCACTAGAATCTCTCTCAACCATTCTGAAGTATGACTTCAAGGAAGATGTAACAAAAATGTTTGTTCAAATTACCATAAGATAAATTCAAGTTGCAATTAATGCAACATTAGAGAAGAACCAAGCTTCATTTATTCTCGGATGGTTGCAAAATTTGAGTGGATGATAATTTAGAGTTGTGGTATTTCATTAATATATTTTAAGGCTTTTTATTTACTTTAAGGTTACATTTACATGGTGGCTAATTATGATCATAAAGTATGAAAATTACAACCCTTGAGAGGTCAAGGGTTTTTTTTTAATACTATATAAAGCCATGTATTGTCTACGTAAAGTAGACTAAAAAATTTAGTAAAAATTGCATTTATGCTTTCTTTTAGTCAAGAGTTTTTTTTTTGTGTGTGTGTGTGCAATTCTATGTAAGGTAGGTTGCATGCTTAGAATCATTCAAGCTCGACTTGATCAATCTTACTTGTGGAGTGATCGAATCTCAAACAAGTATTCTATCCTTTAGACATTCGATCAACAAGGCAATCTGAATCTTACTTTCCCTTGGGATGATTCTCTATTGCTTCGAGACTCTTAGATATATTTAGATCTAAAGGTCTTATTCTTAAAAAGGTTGTTAGATCAAATTTCGAAGAGTTGCAATCATTTGGAATGAAAACAAATTGATTTGAGGGTTTTAGCATTTGTGAACTAGCAGTTTGCATATCCAAAGCATTTATGAGAGTTCTTAGATTCAACTAGCTAGAGTTACAATATCAACAAGTCTCGCAACATAGCACAGATCCTTGCCTACAACAGAGCATCTCCTTCTCCCAAGACAACAGATGGGAAAGGAACTGTTCAATCATCTCCCTAAAACATTTGTTTTTACCAGACTGAAAGCCAAACACTTCAAAATAGAGGTTCCAAACAACCTGAGCGAAGTTGCAACTTTAAAAAAATATGGTTAAGGTCTTGTACTCAAGATAGAATGCAAAGGAGTCCAGTGCTTTCTATATCGCATCAAGTCTCAAATCTATGAACCACCTCTTCATTTAAGCTTGGTTCTCTCTAAAGAAACCTTGATCCCAACCTTTGCTTAAAAAGGAAACCGAAGACGAGTTTTCAGAAGTACTTCCAGGTCAGCGGTTCTATGACAAGGCCATAACTCCATAGAAAAATGATATTGGGCTCAGATTCTGATAGTTGTGGTTAAAAAGAACAATAGGACACTCGGTAAGATAAATTTAAATTAGTTAATGAATTTTGGCATCATATGGCTGAAAAATGGAGTCTTTTGTAAAATGAAACTGCATTGAACCTTCAAAATAGTACAAGTGATCGTAGCAAAACAAGAAAATGAAAACTCACACCGAAGGATTTTCACCAGCATGTAAGGAAGGCGACTTACCAGAAAAACAATTAACTCCATAAAATAGCGGGTAGGAATTTAATTTAAAGTTTAGACTACAACAAAACTAACCCGAGAGGAGAGATAGTATGATGAAGTTAGGTACGATCATAGCAGGGTAAAAACACTCCGGAATCGAACTTGGCAGATCTTGGTGTTGCACAGATTTAAAACAAGAGAAATAAAGCGGTAGAAATCACTCACCTCGGTGGCACCTAGGTTTTCTATAACTGCTATCTTGTTTCCTGGAGACGAGAAGAAAGGAGTTGAGAAATGCGTGGGCGAGATAGGGAAAGAAGTAAGAGTTGAGAAAAGACAGACAACCTCGAAGGTCCAGTTCTCGCTCCTTAATGGCATTGAAGAAATGAGGGCTTTTCCAGATTAAATCGACTGTGAGTCTCACCATGTTCTTCTGATTAGTTCACTGGACGACGACGATGACGACGGGGGTTTAGGGCTTTAGGGCGAATGCAAGTGGAGGGAACGCGTCGGCGACAAGCGACATCAAAGGCAGCGCAGCGTGGATGGAAAGAAGACTCGACGTTCAAATTTCAGACCGAGGCAGCGGCTTTATGGATTTCCAGACGGCCCAAAATAATTCACATTTGGGCTTCTCACTTGGGTGAATTTCGGCCATAATATTTTCAATTAAAATTAGTATTTTTATTTTTCAGTTTTTTCCAAATTTGTTTTGATTTTCTCATTATACAATCCTTTGCCCAGTTTACCAATGGTTGTATTATTCTCTCCCATTTATTTATTTTTTTAGTATATTTAATTTTCTTCCATGCGTAGTAGTAGTAGGATTTTTTTAATATTTTGAGCGTTCATACTCATTTCTATAGTAGTTTTGTCCATCTTTTTTTTCATATATACTTCAATTTTGTGGTAATTTTGTTGACAAATATGTCGTTACTATTATAATTATTTATTTTCTATACATTTTGTACTTGTGAATGTTACGAGTACATAAATTAATTGCAATTGTATTTGAATGAGATGAATCTCGAGAATATACAAATGAGATTAAGAACCTTTCTTTAACAAGCACCTTTACCATTAAGGTTGTTTGGATCGAGAGGACGACGCTCGAGGAGGACTCAAACCCTCACATTCTTTAACACGTGGTAAGCCTGAGATTATGATGGTCGGGTAGGCGTCTATATCAAGCGTGCACTTTGACTTAATTCATTCCTTCCAACCTTTTTATTATTTTTGTGGGAGACAATATGAGTATTGAATTGTTAGTTAGTATGCAGCTTTTGAGTATTGTGAACTTGAAATGGTGCTGAATGAAGATAGTGGTGTTAAAAAAGAAGATAAGCTTTTTATTGACTAAAACAGAGGAACAAGAGAATCAAAGTGGAGGTGGTCGAAACCAACGAAAGCAATTTCCATTCCATGTCAGACTAATCTAAGCCTTGGCTTTGAAGCTGATATGAAGCCCATCTCCAAATTTCAGAATAGGACTTCGAGAAATGTCTCCTCCCTTCACCTTTCTCCAACTGCACCCAACAAATAGAACACGACAGTATTTCGAATTTGTATCTAGTGGTTAATAATTTGAGGCGTAAAATATACCTATACTTGGTGAGCAGAGTGTGGAGGAAGATGGCCATGAAAACCCTGCTGTAATCTGCCCCAGCGCATTGCCGAGATCCTCCTCCAAAGGGCTGCAAGTTCTTCGAAATTGAGTGTTGGTCTAGGTCCTGCATCAAGATTAAAAGCCAATCACCTGCATATCATCCCTTCCTACCTATATCCTGTCCTACAATAATTTATACTATACCTTCCACCGCCATGGGTTGAAGTCCAATGGATCCTTGTGGGTGCCAGGGTTCAAGTGGAGCGCTGAGTTTGCAACCATAAGCGTCCACCCCGCTGGAATTGTATATCCTACACCGCATTTCCACCACCATTTCAAGTCATCACTCATCTAAAAAGACTGTCATTATTAACACGATTATAAATGACCAGCTTCTTACCTTTGATGTTCAGGTCTTTTATTGTTCGCCGCAGTAGAAATGGCAGTGCGTTTGACAATCTCAGAGTTTCATATATAACCTACATGCACAACCCCGCATCTTTAGGAAGCAAAATAAAATAGTGTTTATAAACTTAATTTTCAAACCGTGACTTCCTACTTGAAGCGTAAATGTCATTGACTTGTACTCCTCCCAAGTGATGGGAGATTCTGGATCCTTCCTCTGTTTAAGAAACGCTTCATGCTCGGCCTGCCGATCAGTTAAATTGTGTTAAATAAGGGTCAAACAATTACACTCACACATCCACAAACAAAAATTAAACAAATATCTCACACTCCTCCGATGGATTAATCACTTACAGTCAACTCCCGCACCACCGATGGGTTCTCTGCAAGTAGCTTGAGCATCAAGGTTAGCGATCCGGACACCGACCCACTAGCGAATAAAATTCCGAACAGTAAATTCACAACGAATTCCTCAGATAGAAATTGTTCGCTGCCAATGTCGCGCAGGGCCTGATCAAGAAAATCCCCTTGAGCATTAGCAGCAGCAGCAGCAGCTTGACGCCTCTCCTTGACAAGATCCTTGAACATGTTGACCAGCTTCTTTTGCGCCTTGAGACATTTGTTGTACTTCGTTCCTGGCAAGTTCAACGGGACCGCCATAAACCCGTCTGCTAATGTGATTAAGCTCTCGCTGATATTCTCGCTCGACTTCTCTGGGTCATATCCGAACATCACATCCGCGTTGAAATCGTATAGCATCTGGTTGGTTGTCGGGGTCAGTACGTGATGTGGAAGACACCATTTTATCAGTTAAGATGCGAAACTTACAGCGAGAGTCCCGTGCTGCATTTCAACAGACGGACGGCTGGACCACTGGACGAGAACCTTGTCGACGCATCGCTGGATATCAGCAAGCAGCTTCGTCTTGAGACTCTCGGAGCCGAAGTGGTTCAAAGTTATACCTCTGAGGTACTTATGAATCACGCCGCCCGCGGTTGTCCTAGTGTCACCGTCTTGCTTGAGCACCTTGGAAATGGAGTCCAAATACCAGAGCTCCACCGTCTTCCCTTCTTGAGCGTAAATGAAACTGTTGATTTCAGGGTCAGCCGTAACAACAATGGATCGACCCACCAGACTGGTCCGAAATATGGGTCCATATCTGTAATAATTCAAACTCGAGATTAATCAAACATCTTATTATAATAACAGTATAACCCAATACAAATCTCCTCCGGCCACCTCCTTACTTTTGCACTCTCTTCTTGATAAAGGGAGGAAGGTCCAGAGTGTTGCCGGAAGCTATAAGCTGAATGGTCTCTCCGATGAGAGGGAAGCCCATGGAGCCCGGAGGAAGGAGTCCATTACATTTAGGATTTCTCCACCTGTAAACCAAGTGGGTCAAAAGTATTACCACCACTGCTCCGATGGCTAATCCCGGCGACCACATTGATAATTGGAGCTCCATTTACAGCTTTCTGGGTAACCACAGAAACTCCAGAACTTGTGCAATGCTTTTAACAACAATTAATGCTATAGGACCGTCGGAGCATGCCCACGTGAAACATGTCAAGTAAGTTGCTTCTCCAATTTTGTTTAAAATAAGAAAATTGCATCTAACTAAGATGGACAAGATCATTGTCCAAGGTTTGCCTCTAGGGGCCAGCATCGTGATTCACGTTTTCTACTGCATTACAGCAACAGCAATAGATTTATCTTATCAGCTAAATGGTTAGAAAGGAGTCTTTTAAGTTAGACTTCGGAGATAAGATCAAGTAAGATATACCTCTCTATTATTACGATACTTTTTAGAGAAACCCAAAACAAAGTCATTAGAGCTTATGTTCAAAGTGGACAATAGCATGATTCGTAATGTTAGGAACGGTACTAGTTGTTAGCTCTAATACTAGTTGTAAGATCGCTCAACAGCACACACAGTCGATCAAGATCAACATAAAGAACAGGAGAGAAAAATTAAAAGAAGAATATTAGCTAAAGGTTTCAATTTAGTGTATATATATATGGTTTCAATTTACTAAAATTCACTGCTTCTAAAGATTTAAACCTAACGGATATAATCTAACAAATATATCTCTATCAAATATTTACTAAATATCTATCATATATATCTCATATTTTTATATGAAATATCCTTCACATATATCCGAGATCATGCTCCATATCCCAAACACCCAACACCAGCCCTAGCCGCATAAATTGTAAGCAAGTATTTGGGCGTGCATCACGTGTTGATGAAAAGTTTATGAGGTGATGGATCTATAATGAGCCAAATCCACTCATCAAGGAAAAAGATTTTGGGTGGTGACACACGTGATACATGCCAAAACTTTGGCTTTAATATGAACAACTCTGAGATGCGAAGTTAATCAGATAGTGCAGCTAGGAGAGATGGCATTGAGTGTGAAGATCATTAGCGAGGAAAAGATCAGACCTTCCTCTCCAACGCCGGACACCCAAAAACATCTGAAATTCTCCTTCTTAGATCAGCTAGCTCTGCCTGTTTATGTACCCGTCCTTCTTTTCTACGCTCCAGGCGGCGATGACAATCAAACATCCAAGTCCCACCGCCTGAAAGCTTCTTTATCCAAGGCATTAGCCCAATACTATCCATTCGCTGGCCGAGTTCAAGACAACAATGTTTCAATCCATTGCAACGACGAGGGAGCCATCTATGTGGAAGCCCAAGTCAACTGCCGTCTCTCCGACGTCCTCAATCAACTCAACGTCGACTCACTCAACCAATTCCTCCCTTTCTCCATCGCATCCTCCGACTCTGCCAAAGGCTGCATTCTGCTTGTCCAAACCACGTCGTTCCAATGCGGTGGCATGACAATTGGCTTGCTCATGTCCCACAAAATCACCGACGCCTCATCGATTAGCTCCTTCATCAACACCTGGACTGCCATTGCCGTGGCAGGGGATGGTTCCAACGCAACAATTTCTCAACTCCCACTTCCGGAATTCATCCGCGATTCCGTTTTGCAACCGCCCCAGGATTTCCAAGTTGCAACGCCCACGTCAGACACAGGAATCCACGCGAAAGGCGTGACGAAGAGGTTAGTTTTGAAGGGATCCAAAATAACAGCTCTCAAGGCTAAGGCAGCCAGTGCCAGAGTGGAGCAACCCACACGTGTGGAAGCTGTAGCTGGACTGATATGGAAATGCGCCATAGCTGCATCCAAATCAACTTCCGGGGTTTCAAAGGCGTCTGTGCTGGGCCAAGCCGTGAATCTCCGGAAAAGATTGGAGCCCAATTTGTCGGACACGTCGATCGGGAATCTGTTGGGGTTCATCACGCCGGAAACGAAGGCAGGGGCGGCGGAGATAGAGTTGCAGGAGGTGGTCGGATTGTTAAGGGAAGGGATTGCAGAGTTTAAGAAGAGTGGGTATAAGAAATACCAAGACACGGAGGCTTATCTGGAGTTCTTTAAAACGATGACCGACCCAGACGGTCCGTACAGCAGCGACAAGAATTTCTACTTGTGTAGCAGCTGGAGCAGATTTGGATTTTACGAAACTGATTTCGGGTGGGGATGTCCCATTTGGTTCATCGGCGG